CAGCAAGGATGCATTACATTGATCAAAAGTGACAGTAAAGACAGTTGTAATGTTTGAATAAATATCTATTTTAAATAAATGCTGTTTTTGAACTTTCTATTTATCAAAGAATCCTGAAAAAAATTGAGCAAATATATTAAGCAGCACAAATGTTTTCAACATTGATAATAACAAGAAATAATAAGAAATCAGGGGAAAAGTTTCTTGAGTAGCGAATCAGCATATTAGATTGATTTATGAAGGTTCATGTGATCTGGAGTAATGATGCAGAAAATTCAGCTTTGCCTCAGAGGAATAAATTAAATGGTATCATAAATTCACGTAGAAAACAGTTATTTAAAATGGTAATATTTCCCAATATTGCTGTTTTTACTGTATTTTGATCAAATAAATGCAGCCTTGGTGAGCATAAGAGATTTCTTTCAAAAACTATAAAAATATATATAAACAAAAATATATCACTGACCTCACAATTATTTGGGTTATTAATTGTTAGAAAATGTGGGAAGTATGGGAACATTGCTTGCAAAAACTTGTAAAAAAATATCCTAAGTAACTTTAAAACTAATATGAACATTATATCCGAAATTGTTTATTATACATCACTTTCAAAACCACTTTTTAAAATATATGTGCGTGTCTGAGTAGTTGTAGCATTTCTGCTTAGTGTTGGAGGTAACATAACAAGTAATGTGAGTTACGTAATCAGATTACTTTTTTCAAGTAACTAGAAAAGGAATGCATTACTTTAAATTTACAAGAAAATATCTGAGTTACTTTTTCAAATAAATAATAAGAGACTTCTTTCAAAAACTATAAAAATATATATAAACAAAAATATATCACTGACCTCACAATTATTTGGGTTATTAATTGTTAGAAAATGTGGGAAGTATGGGAACATTGCTTGCAAAAACTTGTAAAAAAATATCCTAAGTAACTTTAAAACTAATATGAACATTATATCCGAAATTGTTTATTATACATCACTTTCAAAACCACTTTTTAAAATATATGTGCGTGTCTGAGTAGTTGTAGCATTTCTGCTTAGTGTTGGAGGTAACATAACAAGTAACGTGAGTTACTTAATCAAATTACTTTTTTCAAGTAACTAGAAAAGGAATGCATTACTTTAAATTTACAAGAAAATATCTGAGCTACTTTTTCAAATAAATAATGCACGTTACTTTACTTTTGCATTACTTTCTGTCACCTGAGCTGGGCAAAAACAATGTAATACATTACTTTACATAAAAAGTAGCTAAGTAACACAATTAGTTACATTTTTATGGAGGTTCTTTTAGTAACTGTCCCCAACAGTGTTTCTACTTGATATCCAATTATTATACAAAACCTTTTAACCCATCAGAATGTTCGACTAAAAGTCCTCTCTTAATGTCTTTGTTTTATTTTAATTTCTTCAGAGAATCAAACATCGATGTTTACTTGCTTGAAAAAGAGAACAGTTTCACAACCACAGTGAGGAATTTCAAGGACATCGGCCCAGATTTGAACTTTAATTTAAAGGTGAGTTCATGTAAGGGATGAATCCTTCGGGCTGTTCTCTACCACCATCTGTTGGTTTGCTTTGAAAATGAAGTTGATGGTGATGCGAGTGTATTTATTTCTCCAGGTTTCTACAGGAACGGTCCCAGTCAGCCTGGTTTACCTCACTGTCTCGCTGCCCAACAGCACCAAAGCAGGAAATCCTCTCCTCTACACGACCAGCATTAAAACCTCACCTGTGAGGATCCATAACCTCACATTTACACACACAATCCATCATAAACATGAGCGAACGCATTGTCTGTGAATGTGGAAATGATTTGACATGATATTTCCCACAACAGGCTGAAAAAATCCATTGTACAGATAGTCAACTGATCGACCCGTTTAAGATCAGCGAGAAACCTTATACGGTCCGATTCAAAGAGGAGAGTTTTAGAGGAACAGATGAACTGGTCAGTGCTTGTGGATCTTCATCTAAAAAAATCTTGAAATCCAAGACTGCCAAAAACATTGGCTTTTGTTATTGATCGTGACACACAAAGGAAGTACTAATGAATTAAGTATGAAACCCAGTAATAATTATTTATGTAATAATGTTTTTAATTTGATCTAGATGGAGTTGATTTGCATGATGACTAATCCTGTCTCAGATTACAAATAACAGGATGTCTTCATTTCCATCCGTACTGATCATCTGTTCACCATCCACAGAACTGCAAAACGGCCACATGCCGCTCACTGCAATGCGTCCTGAAGGGCCTACAGGAGAAGAGTGATTATTATGTGAATGTAACAACAAACATATGGAATGGTACCTTTGCAATGGTAAATAAACCCATTTCAGTGCTTTTCTTGTATCGGTCTGGGCTAATATTGGGGTTAACAGTGTTTGTTTATTACAGGCTGATTTCCTGTACACCGTGCTCTCTGTGAGAGCTGATATAGAGACGTCTCAACCGGAGCTGCTGTTCATCAAACAGAAACGCCTGCAGGTACAGTCAAATCAAGCCGGATCAATCATTTGGAAAAAATTTTTTTTGCCTCAAATATGTGACATCCTATACAAAAAAAAAAATATATATATATATATGCATCTGTGTGTGTTAAAATGTTGCAAAATGTATTTATGTAAATATATTTTTTTCCAATATATTTTTGGGGAGGAAAAAAAATATATATATTAATAATATAAAATTTAATTTTTTCCCTATTTCATATATTTCAATCCAAGAAAATGCATGTTATTATTAAAGAAAATATTTGATGTCTAACACATGAACATAACACATTTGAATAGAAATCAGCAAGGAACATATATAATATTCCAATATATATATATATATATATATATATATATACTGTATACATAAAATTTAATATAATTAAATCATTATAAATCTAGTTTTGATCTCTAATAGGCTATTCCATCTACATTTGCATTTAGCCTAACTGTTTAGCCTTTACTGTAAGATTGGAAATGTATTTTCTTGTCCTGAAATACTTTTTGAAATATATTTTGGTATGTGAAATTTAAAGGGGTCATATGATGCTTTTTTAAAGATCATTATTTTGTGTATTTGGTGTAACAGAATATGTTGACATGCTTTAATGTTAAAAAACATTATTGTAGGTCCTCTATGTACATTATTGTTACATGCCAAAGAGAAAGGAAAACTTGAAATCGCATCATATGACCCCTTTAAAACTACATATATTTTCAATTTCAAAAATATATTTCATTGAGTTCCACTGTTAACAGCATATATTTTGCATACATTTAAAATATCTTTTGGCCAGAAAATAAAAATTGCTGTATGGGATCAGCAGTCATTACCCAATGTAGGCTAAATTTACAATTCAACTCTTGATTGCAGGTTGAAGTCAAAGTGAGCAAACCTGGAGCTAAAGGGGACGTTCCAGTGGGTGCCATTATAGGAAGTGTTATCGGGGGTCTGCTGTTATTGGCTCTTGCCGTCGCATTGCTTTGGAAGGTACTTTGTTTTGCCGTTTCAATGTTTATTTGGTCTACATCTTGTCATTGTCTTCTTTAAAAATCCATGTATTTTTTGCGTTCAGCTTGGATTCTTCAAGAGGAAGTATCAGTCGATGATGAACGCGGAGGAGAATGGAGCGGAAAATCAGGAACTGCAGGAAAACAGCGAGACACCCTAAGAATTCTGCTGAGACTCATTTGGCAATAAGGGCTAGAAAGAGCAAACTGGGTTTTTAAAAATGGATTTGATTTCAGCGCGGCAAGTCAAATATTGGCATTCAAAACCCATTCATCTTTCGTATGTCTTTTCCTCTGCTTGACTTGAATGCTGGTGTATCTTTTTGGCAGTCTTACCACTTCCTTTCATTTTCTGAGTAGTTAGTATTTAGCTAGATCTTTTTGTGTATTGTGACTTATGCCCAAAGTATACTTCTCTTTGTGTGTAGCTTTTCAAAGTATCCTCCATTTGATAGTGTGTAGGAACACAGGCGCTGGATACATGCGCACTAGAAAGAGTCACCCTTGTCCAGTGTCTGCGCTATTTCTCTTCAGAAGTTATTTGTGATGAGAGTCTTTGTACTCATTTAAACTAAAGTTGCAGGTCTCCATCCACCACAGAAGCACTTGTCAATGCGGGCGTCTGTTGTTGTTGCCGTCTTTATTAGTTTATTGTTCTAGTTCGGTCTCCTCCATGGCCTGGGACTGTGTTGCCACCTTGTGGACAAACTAATTAGTGCAAAAAAATTCAAAGTGCATGTGTGAGCTGAGCGTACATTGTACTAGGGCTATTCAATGTGGCTAAAGGGATACAGCTCCGACCAGAAACTAACAATGAAATGTAATTTTCTTCCTATTTGTGTTTTTTATTAACGTCTACACCTACCCCAACCCTAAACCTACCCCTTTACAATAATGCAAAAATAGTAATTATTGTTGTACAGTGTGACAAAAATTATGCTATATTGATGTGTGCATGCCCAGTAGCCGCAGCTGTATACCTTCTAGCCTTAACCCTGTTCGATTGCGGGTTTTTCCAGTCGACTCCCCATCGACTCGCTGTTACTTACAGGGTCAGCAATAAGAAGAGACAAGGTCTTTGCACACCGAGTCCAAAATTCTCACCCGAAATTTTCGCACATTAAAAAAAAAAAATATGACCTCACGTTGTGTCAATCATGTTTACACACTGCCGAAACTTTCGTCCATCATAAAAAAATTAGGACCAGGTTCGTTTTTCTGCGTTTTCACATCCGTAGCAAGCATTTTAATAGGAAAGGATGACGAATATGAAAAAAACAGAAAATCGCATACGAAAATTTCGAACTCGGTGTGCAAGGACCTTTACAATATAGCAGTCTTTATATTAATTCACATTAAATTCTTTTTCTTTTTTTGGTGACACAAAAACTTTAAACATTAAAATAACACACTTTAACCATGGCTAATAATTCCAATTTAGAGATGACAGTACTTTGAAATTATGAGTATCACCATTTCCTAGTTGTTGCCAATACATACAACAGCCATGTCAGAGTTAAATGAATGAGAGAGAACATATTCTTCGAATTAATATAATGGCCGGGTGAGGGCATTGTGACAGTTGTTTCTGTGTCAACCCAGTGCAGTCAGTGTCCGATTTCCTGGCTTTATTTGGTTCACTCCTTGCAGATATAGTGCACTCAACTGGCGAGTACTATATAGGGACTAGTGAATGAGTGAGGAATTACAGACACAGCAATGGCGTCGACAACGAGTCGATTCCTGTGCTAGAGTTGACCCCAAGACTATGGCTATTCAGAGTCAAGGAATCAGCTTTAGGCGTCGACTCCCCATAACTACATTGCACAAATGGTTAAGAAAAATTGGGCTGAATGTGCATACAGGGTCACGCACCATACCAAATATTTTAGATGTATGCATACCCTAACATACTAGGCCTAAAGAGATAATTGGTGGCATATATGTAAATGGACCTTTGAGTCATTGACTAACTTAATTGAACAAATTTGATCATTTATTTTATATACTGGAGTACTAAAATTCCCCAAAATTCTAAAGCATACCAGGCATATGTTCCAAATTATACAGTATCAGTGAAAAGAAGCCTTCACAAAATTGTAGTGAGACCATTTCAGCAATACCAAATTGCAAACTCAAAAATGTTTTATGCCCAAAGCAGCAATACACTGGTAAAGCAGGTTTTTTGTGAATTCTACCGCTGCCACTGTTGTCCATACTATGTAAACATGAGCAAATAACTCCAGTAGTAAGCAGTGCCACTGTATGCAACACATCAGGGAAATGGATTAACACTGCATGAGAAAATAAATGATTGAGACTACTTGCACAAATGAATCAAGTTAGTAATAAGAAACACTTTAAAAACTTAACATTAAATCTTACATTAACAAATTATGTAATAATGCAAGATGTTCATTTTTAAAGTGTTGTCTGCATTGTTTCTTATTACTAACTTGCCATTTATAAACATAAAATACAGCTTAATGTTATCCGCAAATGTATAATGACATTTCAAACTATTTGACTGCATTAACAAATGATCTAAGCATTATATGATGTAGTCAAATCTTCTGAAATGTCAAACATATTTGCATGTATATGAAAGTGTTGTCAGTAAATTGCTACATGAATTCAGGGTTTAACTTCTACTGATGCTGTTATGTGGCGTTTTTAGGAAATCTTTGAGGCCCGACTTATCGAAGGCAACATAAACGACAACGATTTCCCTTAATATTTACATAATGTTTTTGCACTGGTACTTTTTTTAAGACTTTCTATTCAAGAGAAGAGTAGAATATGCTCTTTTGATTAAAATCTTTGTTTCATCAGGTGTTACAGGAAAACTTTGAGCTTTGTATTTTTTCAATAAAAACCTCTTGATGCTTCATGAGATTTACTGTAGCTCATTTGCTAGTTAATGGTTCAACTTGGTTTGGGATCTTTCCCAGTATCCGGCTACAAACACTCCTTGTTCTCTTTCCAGCACGGCTCCCCAGACTCATATATTTCCTGAAAAGTACAAAATAATTACAAACATGTTCCAAACAATTGTGCAATGTAATATATGAAGAGAAATGGTTACACTTTGATGGCAATAATTACAAGTTACAAGTTATTATAAAAAACGGAAGGGTTCCACAAACAGGGTAGACTCTAGTGTCTTATAACTTTATTATGTTTACTTAAAAACTTAAAAGATAGTAATTATACTTAAAAGTATAAGAGGCACAAATAACTTTTTTTTGTTTTGCTGTCAGAACTATTTGGTTGCATACAATTACCTAGCATAAAAATAGCTGGTTTTAAATGAGAAATGTCTGTTTTTTTTTGTCTGTCTCAGATTTTGATCTTATCAAATATCCATTAATTACAACCACAAGTCATGATTTTGACAATATGCAGAATTTATTTTTAAATCATTGTATTAAAAACAGTTATTTAACTAATTCTAATGATTAAATGTTTACCTTTCTTAGAGTAACATTTCATGTTCACTTATGATGGGAAGACAAACAAAACTCATCCATTTTATCATTATTTACACTACTTGACCATTCAACCCTGTTACCAAGTTTGTCAGGAAAAGTGATTAATTAAATATTGCCCATAATTTATTGCAAATGTAAGTTTAACAAAAGTTACTTGTTAATAACTTGCTGTTATATTAAAATGTATTCTCTGTAAAGTTGTATCATCCATGTCTTTTTAGTGTTAATATTTAATGCTTATTACTAGTCAGTAATAGTATCATACAAATCGATTTTAAAATGTGCCACATTATGGTTCTGTAAAAAAAAAAAAAAAAGCTAATTTAATATTTAATCTGACCTCCTGAGGTTGACAACTTTTTAAAGCACCCCCTTTTCAAAGGTCTTTTTTTTGTACCTTATTCATGTTCTATATGGTTATACAGACCTTTTTCCAGATTGGCACAGTAGCTTTGAGTGTGTTGATGCAGTACTTCACCGCCTCCAGGGAATCACTTCTGTGCGGTGACGAGATCCCTATAATAACACTTGCTTCTGTTACAGGAACCACACTGTGGACACGGTGGGAAAACGCAGAAAATGCCCTTTAGATATATAATGATGTTAAAGTGATTAACTTCTATTATCTGAACAAGCTTTGAGACTCACCCAAGTCTATGCTGAATGTTAATGTGTCTGACGCTGGGCCACTTTGTCCGGATCTCACGGCAGATCTTCCTGAGCTCTGACTCTGCCATTGGACTGTATGCTTCATATTCAAGCCAGATCACTTTGTTCCCCTCAAAATTATCTCTGGTAGTTCCTGAAAGAGGAGATCACATATAAAACTAATAGGTAGCTGTAAGAAAGCCAACTCTAAACAGAAGCAATGATCCATTGAAATACAGCGTAACAAAGACTGACCAATAAACAGCGATACAGCACCACAGGAGGGACACGTAACAGACTGAGAAACACTATCAGCAGAAAGCTTGTCAGTAGTGAGTGTAATTAGATCCTGACCCCCATCTGCAGCCATACCTGTACAAAAAAAAAACTAATATATAAAATAGGTTTCTATATAATATAAAGTATACTATGAAACACTTACGTTGTTATGTGTTTATAATGTTTTATTATACATAAAAAATAAAATACAGTAACAAAGATAGACAGGTGTTGGATTTGATGCCCACCTTGATAATTTCTTTAGCCTCCACTAAGGGGCGGTATAACGGCCACCTCGTCCCCGTCTCTGAGGGTCAAGGGCTGCTCTCCCAGAGGCACATACTCCTGACGCACGGCCAGAACCACCTGATCCCGTAACACAGAGAGTCTGCCGAACAGGACACACATCTTCCGAATGAAACATGACTATATATAACGAATAGAAATTAAAATAAAAATTAACAGATGCTCTAGTCCAAAAACACCCAAGCCAGAGCCCAGGGGCCAAAGACCTTTGATTTGACCCGTGAATCCTGGTTTAAGCATTTATGGATCATTCCATATCACAAGAGGAAGGAGAACAAAAAATGTGGTAAAACCCACTAAAGCATATCTTCATTTCTATTACTATTTTATCTTTTTTTTGTTGTTGCAATCTTTGCATTTAAATGTTAACAACAATATGTATGAATATGATTTTTAAAAATATAAAATATTCAAAAAAATGTTATTTAAATATGTTTAATTATTTATTTATTACATTTTAATAGAATATACTTTTGGCCCATGGCCCTCAATCAAGCTTGATTTTTCGTCGTTTGTATTAAAAATGTTTGGACACCTCTGCTCTTGTACATTGGAAAATAACACAAAGTAGTAATTTGTAGATAATTCGTTTTTCTTAACATTATTTACATGCTTTAGAGTGTGCATAGAGCGATACATTTCACATAAAAAGACTTCAAATCTGGGCAAAGTATGAATGAAATATTTACACTGCAAATATAATGTCCAGTGTTTACATTTAATATATATATTTTGTAATGAAAATGAAAGTTAGTTTATAAACATGCCATAAACATTCTCTCAACTTCATAAAAATATATCAAAAATATGTATTAATAATAAGTATTACTACTATAATTAGTATTTTTACGTCAAAATATGTAAAATGTTTATTACATGTAAAAAAAAAAAATACTTTATCACAATTATTGTTATTGCTGTTAAGTTTTATGAAGTCTCACGACGCATAAACGAAGTCTCTGATTGGTGGACTGAGTGGCAACATCTCCTTTGTTTGATTGGGCGCTTTTTTTATTAATGTATTAAAAATAATAATTCACCTTGGATGTCTGGTCTCCAAATGCTGCCACAGCTGTAGAGAGGATATGTTTGACGGAACCGTGATGTTTTCTGCTTTAAGTCCCGTTAATTCGGCACTTTTTGCAAAGTACAGAACCAACACCTGCTTAACGAGTAGAGATTTATTAGAACAACATGGTCAGAGAAAACTTCCCAAAACACTCAAGTTCACTGAATGTCACGAATGATTAACGTTACGTAAATATGATTCGTTTTGTATTTTCGCTTTGCAGGAGGTTGATAAGAAAATGTAATTGTATAAACGATTTGAAAAGCAGACTTACCTCGGTATTCATGTATGTATATTGGCTGGACACAAGTAAACTTCAACCCTTCGCCGCGTGCGTCGGTTTGTCTTCCTGAGAGCCCAAATCCAATTGGTTTCGCTTCAGGTCAGCTGACTCGTGACAGGAAAACAGACATATGACGCTGTTTATTCCGGAACTCAATGTCCTTGTGAATGTTTAAAATTACATCTTATAAATTCGCATTTCTTCTCATCTATTAAGTCTTTGAGCTTTTATCGTTGAAATAGCGACGTTTAAACGTTCCTAGAATTAGCTCTGCATTTCATTCCACCCTTCACCAGCAGATGTCTCCAAATTCACATAACATACTGAGCCATTCACCAACCTCACATAGTTAGGTCCCTAAATATAATATATGTTTACTGTCTTTTAAGGTTACTATATTTAGACTCATGTAAAGCCTTATGCGCATATAACCATTAAAGCTATCAGTATACAGGATTTTTTTTTTAAACAATAGATCAAACGCTCGTTTCGCCATTATTAAACAGCCGATGGCTGTTTTTGTTCAGTAAGACAATTCTGTGTGGCATTCGATCAATCCAGTGACATCTGCAACCACAGACCACAGCTGTGCAACGTATGTCCCCGTTTCACAGTCATTGTTATTAACAACGTGTGGTAGGAGACACTTGCAGAGTCGTGCATTTCTCCCAATTTTCCAACAGAGGGACAGCAGGGCAACACGTCCAACCCTGACATATCTGGCAAGCCGATTTAACATTTACTTCTTAAAGCTAGTATCAGTTTTATGTTAACAGTAGGTTTACTACTTTGTTTTTACCTACTAATAGACAAAATAATCTAATAGTGAGTGCAATATGTATATGTAAAGAAATGTTACTACTGACAGATAGTTAATAGATACCAGTAAGCGCAACTAAAAAAATAAGTTATGTAAAGTATTACATAATAAATTGTTACTAGTAAAACTAAAATAAACTTAAGTCAGGGTAGCACCATATTAAAAAATCTAAGGAAAGAAGTACAGTGTGTTCAATTGACTGCAATGTTTAACAACATACCCATTGTTCAGCTGATTAAATGTCTTTCAATAGACAAGTACACCATAAAACAGTTTGAAAACTGTGAGAATTACATGATCTAGGACCTTTATACAGTGTGTGCCATTGTTAGGACAGTATGTTTATCCTTCACAGCCTCATTTTCATCCATGTTGAATTCAATATGCTAAACCAATTAAGGTCCATAACTGGTATACATACATAGTACCATAGATATGTATAGCTAGATTCCACATTTGACCCCTCTAGACATGTCGACGCGTCTGCCTTCTTGGAACAGTCAACGTGTCATCAATCACAGTAAAAATCAATGAGTTTTCCAAGATGCCACAACACTGCACAGTCTCTGGTTGGAAAAAAACACCAAGATTTAAATTCTTAAAGAAATGGGACAACCTTTCACTGGTGAGAATGTGTTGGTTTGTGTTTTTATATATGTATACCTCAATATTACAGGTTTTTAAACTATGGTAACCTTTTAATGTTGTGTTAGCTAATGCCTTTGTCTTTTTGTATTGTGTTAGTTTAGCAGAAAATTAGTCTATTGTAGATATAGATGTTTATACATGCATATACCTACAGTTGCAGATGCACAGTCAATTTGCTCTTGAGTGTTCAAGGACTAACTTTGACCGCTCCAATCAGGGTTGCCAGGTCTGCATAAGAAAACCAGCAACAGCTCAAAACTAACCCAATCATGTTGCAATCATGTTCGCTCCAAAATCATATTCCCACAGACTAAAAAACATCAGCAACAACAGCATAAACGTAGCCTAATTCCATGAGAAAATCGCAGACTTGGCAACACTGGCTCCAATATGGTGGACAGCTTACATATAGCGGCCAATAGAAACTGCCACTAATGAGGCATCTGTGTATATATATCTATTGCATAGTACTCAAATCCATACTTCGAATTCAGTTACAAAAATGTTTTGCTAGAAGTAATGGAATAGTTACTTATCAGTATTGAAATAGTGACTAGTAGCAAATAAAGTACTAGTGTCTGATAAGTATTTGCATCACTGAACACCTCATCTAAACTGCAAGTGCGAACATGATAAATGCTCCGGTTACTCACGTAACCTCGGTTCCCTGAGATAAGGGAACGAGCGTTGCGTCGTCGTTTGATGACTGCTTGGGGAAACTCCTGTTTACTCTATTACTGAAGCCTGATTGGTTAACGTTTGTGTGGCTGCACAAACCAATGGCGCTCGAGCCTGCCAGAAGGGGCGGAGCCGACCGCTATATAAGTTGGCTCGGAGCGCCATCTCATCAGAATCATATGACTGAAGCAACAGCCATCGATTCGCGTGCAGCTATAGCATGGCCAGTTATGCAACGCTTGTTCCCTTATCTCAGGGAACCGAGGTTACATGAGTAACCGGAGTGTTCCTTATCGAAAGGTAACTCCCGTTGCGTCGTCGTTTGACGACTGCTTGGGGAACGTATCCAGTAGCGCCGTGCTATAAGCAGATGCAGAACTTAGCCTGCTCCGTGAGCTCAGCCCAGGAACACTCAGCGAGGGCTCCATAAGCATGAGCCACAAAGAGACCCGAGAACATTCTGAGATCTACTTGAGATAACTCTCCCCACCCGGTGGGGGTAAAGTAAGCATTAGGCGGATAAGACCCGTGCCTGCAGGGCAGGGACGTCCAAATTGTAGAATCTAATAAAGGTAGACGGCAACGACCAGCCGGTGGCCGCACAAATCTCCCAAAAAGAGATTCTACTGCACCAGGCCCAAGAGGAGGCCATTCCTCTGGTGGAATGGGCCCTCGCACCCAAAGGGCATTGCAAGCCATCTGAGGCATAAGCCAGAGCTATTGCATCTACTATCCAATGAGATAGTCTCTGCTTTGTGACAGGCAGCCCTTTAGGGCGACCTCCAATACACACAAAAAGCTGCCCTGATTGTCTGAAAGACTCTGGAAATGACCTGGGCTCTAAACGGAGTTGAGAGCACCTTCTGTACATAACTGCTGCGTGGTTGAAGAACGGCCCAAACTCAAGACAGGAAGCACTGACAGACAGGGTTTGCAAGTCCCCTACTCGCTTGACTGACACCAGGGCCAAAAGCAGAGCGATTTTGAGTGTCATGACCCTTAAGCCGGCTGTTTGAAGCGGCTCAAAGGGGGAGCTCTGGAGAGCTCTCAGGACTATAGACAAGTCCCATACTGGCACCGTCCTAGGGCGAGGAGGGTTTAACCAGCGAGTGCCTCTAAGAAACTTAACAACCAAGCCGTTCCTGCCAGTTGTCCGGCCAGCCTCAAGAGAATGATCCGCCACGATGGCAGTAACATAGACTTTGAGCGTGGAAGGGGTGCACCCCTTATCCAGCAGCTCCTGCAAAAAGGTTAGCACGTGGGACACATCACATGATACCGGATCCTGGTTCCGTGCTGAACACCAGTCACTGAAGACTGACCACTTGAGGGCATAGAGGCGCCTTGTAGACGGAGCTCTAGCCTCTAAAATGGTATTAGTGACTCTGGGAGTTGGCTAGACTCCCGTCGAGTGGCCAGACATGAAGGCTCCACAGTTCCGGCTGGGGATGCCAAATCTTGCCCTGCACCTGCGAGAGAAGGTCTCTCCTCAGTGGTATTGACCACGGCACTGCAGATAGCAGCTGGAT